TGGGATGTTAGGTGGGGACTACGTTTTCTCTGTGTTGAACTTCATAGGGTTAAATATTTGGTAAGTGAGGTTTTTAAGTGAACTCATTTTTGCAAAATATGAATTTGTAAAAGTCTGACTAATCTATAATAATAGAAGCATAATATGCAAATTGACCAAATGACTGAACAGCAGAACGACCGTCTGGACGACCATGCTATGACACGCACTGGCTCCAGGCCAGCCAAGGTGGATGTGATGTGATTGGTTGAGGGGCCCCGCCATCGCCTCACGATCACCCAGCAGAGGGAGGCCCAGGCCACCCTCTGCGCAGCCATCAATCGCGGATCCACGGCTGAGTGGGTGTGGCCTCCCTCTGCTGGGCAATCGATCGCAGAGCCCCGTGATTGATTGCCCCGCAGAGGGAGGCCCAGGCCAGCCAAGCGATCACACCCCACGCCTGTCGCCCAGAGAGGGAGGCGACCAATGGTGGGGAGTGGGGTGCAGCACCGCACAGATGGCAGGCAGTGGCAGTGGTGGAGGCAGGGCCAGCTGCCAGCAACTGGGGGAAGGAAAGCCCCGATAGGCCCTGATTGCCAGCCAGGTCTAGGCACCCTACCCGAGGGTTTGTGAGAGGGCTGAGGGATACCCCCTCCCCACGCCCGTGCATGAATTTTGTGCACTGGGCCTCTAGTGTGTTAGAAGCGAAGGAGTAGTGTTTGACATGCCAATTTCTAAGATAATTTCACTTAAACCACTCAGTTCATCTGTTTCCCCTCGTGTGTCAGGAGTAATGAACATTCTAGGGCTGAGGTCAGCTTTAATCCACGCCTTCCTCCCGGAAGAGCCCCTGTCTGTCTCCCTCTGGTGCAGTGGCCGCGTTAAACTCGTGCACGTCAAAGCGCCACATGCTGAGGATAGCGGGAGGAGAGACCAAAATACTTTTAAAGGGCATTTTAAAAGTATTTTGGGCATTTTGGGGTCCCAGACATGGCGTGCTATTTTGGGATAATAATGTAGAGTTTACTCAGTAATAACCAGTGCTTATTTTCTCAACCAAGTTCTGTGTTAGATTTGATCTACTCTTTTTTTTCTGCCCTCAAAGATTTCTGAAATAAAGGGGTAATTCTCACCAAGTAACCCTCAAACAGGGATAACACGGGGCTCGCTAGCTCCCTTCCGAGGAAGCTGACTGCGTACAGAGGTGGGGCAGCTGCCGGGGTTCTTTATCCTCCCCTCTCTCCCCCTCTCAGCATGGCGGGGGGCCTGCGCTACTCCTTCTTAACCCTGAGCAGCCAGTTGAAGCCGAAACAGCCTGTGGACGAGGAAAACATCCCCCCGGATTTGAAGAGTTAGGCTCAGGCAGCCTGGCGGCTGTGAGGCTGTTCCGACCTTGGACGTGGGCCGGCCTCTGGTCAAAGCAAGAAAAGGAACATCTGCAAAACGCAGAGAACCTACCTCGCGCGCTGCCAAGCGAGCCACGTGGCCGGAGAACTGCGTCCGGGCAAAGCCTCGCTGGCTGAAAGGGAATCTCGGAATAAGCCAGTGGGTAACGGGCTGTCCTAGGGGCTGCAGGTGCCTGCGAGGTGGAAGGCGCTGGGCGGGCGATGGCTTTCTCACCGGCACCTCGGCCTTCATGGCAAAGGTCCCAGCCCAGGCAGTGACTGAGTGCTGTTCGTGAAACAGGCGCATCTTTATTTTCACAAAATTACCCAATTAACTGCCAGTACAGACACCTGTTAGCTTTGGTTCCCTCTCACATGTTGGTGTTTTCCCAATCGTCAAAGTGAAATAAACAATAATCCATACGCACGCTTCCTGCTGTGTGTGACATTACGGTGGACAGGCAGGAAAAGGGCCAGTTCTCCACTCTGCCTGGGGGTGGCCTTCCTTTTAAGGCCTGTGTTGGGGAAAGGTACAGAACAACCCGGTGGAACACACCACAAGACCTCCCGTGCCCTGTGATGTCTCACTGGGCCACCTCTCTCCTCGTCTTCCCCCCGAGGCGTGTTCAGGGGCTGTGACAGTCAGGCAATGTGCACTTTAACCAAAGGCCTGTTTCCTTCCCTAAGCCTGTCTGGCTGCCGGGCCGGGGTGTGGGGAGGCCCCCTAGTGGATGTGAGTTATTATTACTCTTCCATCACAAGCTGGGGACGGGTGCAGGGCAGGCCTCAGTCTGAGCAACAACAGCCCAGGGGTTTTGGTGTCTGGCACAGGGGCGGGGGGCCCTGCAGGAGCAGATGGCTTGGCGCCCCTTTCCGGCAGCCCCCTCTATGGCAATCCTCTCCCTGCAGTGTCTGGGCTCCTAGCCGGACCCCAGAGGGTCAGGGTGGGACCGAGGACTGGGCCCTTCAGCAGAGGCTGTGGGCGCCTCCTGGGGGTTCAGGCGCTCCCCTTGCTCTCTGCAAAAAGGCATTATGTGCCTCTGGACACTTCAGACAACACAGGCATGATGCAGCAGAAACGACAAAAGTAACAATCTCAGCCTGTGAACTGGGGCAGGACCCTCCGTTGCCCACAATGCACCAAGAGCCCCACGGACCCTCCACAAGGTGTCCGCCCACTAGGCCACCTGCTCTGCTCAGGCAGCGGGCCTTCTCCTGGCTCTACCGCAGGCCTTTGCTTCAGCTAGGCCCTCTGCCTGACATTCTCCACCTGGTTCCTGCACTGTCCTCCTCCCAGCCCCTGCTGGAGGGTCATTGGCTCAGTGCCCCCTCTCCAGTCCCAGTTTAACTCTCAACATGCCCCAGTGCCGGGGTTCTTGTCCCAGCGCCAAGAAGGGTTCAGGAATTTGGAGAAGGGGTTCTGCGTAGATGACATAGGAATCCAGAGACTAATAAAGTGTCTGGAGACGAAATATAATTTTGAATGGGGGAATTAGCCTATGGCTGTTCAGGTGTTTGGCCAGTAGGAGGCCAAATCCAGCCAAGCTTCTAACTTGCCTGCTCTGTTCCCAGGACAGCGAGGCCTTCAACCCTCCTCCATCTCTTGTGGTTTAGGGTTAGAACCGTCTTTCCCCACTTGTTCATTTTCTTGACGGCGACTCTCCAAGGCGGCCAGGCGCTGTCCAGAGGCCGGCCACCATTTTGACTCCTGGTGAAGTTGCACTGGCATCATGGGTCTCGTGTGTCTATTAAGTGGGAGTGAGCTCTAGACTGCACTGCTGGATCCAGCAGCCGCCGGCACGTGGGGCTTTCACAGCGTACGTTATATTAATAACAATAAACTGAGTTTAACATTCTCCTTCTTGGCCAGACTGGCTGAATGTCCCTGCTCAGGAGCCCATGCGCATTGGGCCTTGCTGGACCTATCAGAGACCCCCAGCGCCTGCCCCAGGGCAAGGGGATAAAGTGGGCCTGGCCTTTCCATTGGAAAAATTTATTTTTCCCCTTTGCAACTAACAAGTGATCTGGGGGATGGGGTGGGGGGGAGGAGGCGATCCATAATAATTCCAAGAGAGTGCATTTTTGATCATCTACTGAATGCAGGCACCGCGCAGAGCACAGGAAGAGAAGGACTGTAGCCTCCTGGTTGTGGGAGCGCAGGTGTGGGTCTGTGTGCCCACTCAGGCTGTGGGGCTCCCAGGATTATGACACCCGACAGGTAGGTGTGGAAGGCTTTCCTCAACCTGTGGGCGCCAGCTGCAGTCTCCTCCCTCCCTTAGCACACGATTCATTGAGAACAGCCGCCCCACCAGCTGCCATGTCCTGGCCTTTGTCGGAGGCCCCGTGTGCCTCCCTGAGGCTGGGCGCTCAACACGAGGAAGCAGAGCTGACGCCCCCTTGTGTGCTCATTTCCCTAGAGCCATTTCCAGCAGACGGAGGTGTCCATTGTCCTTCAGGGCGGCTGCTGAGGGTCCTGGCCCCAGAACCCCTGTCTCGGCTCCTGCCTGGTGCGCTGCATGCGGCCAGGCCCTGCCTAGAATGTTGGAGCGTGCGGGGCTGTGGAGGGAGTGGAAGCGCGTGGCATAGAATGAATGTTGGGGTGTAGGCATGCGAAGTACATAGCACACGTTATAGAGGAAGGAGACAGCGGGAGGGAAGGCAAAAACCTACAGACAAGAAAACCGCGGCTCAGCAAACCACTCCTCCCTCGCGCCGGGGTTCAGAGTGACCGTCCCCAGCCGGCGAGTTGCTGGTTCCTAGCCTGGCACCCCTGGCACCTGGCATAGCCGCCCTAACGCCAAATCAAGCTTTGAGGGGAGAGGCGGGGCGCCACGACACCCTATGACGCCAGATGGGGCCCATGCGCGCACCAATGGGCCTGGCCAAGCTTGGCCACGGTCATGAGGCGTCAGGAGGCGCCGGACGGAACCCGCAAAGATTTGCGAAGAGCACTGGTTCCAAACGGAACTGGGATAAGAATTTAAAGGCGAAGAGAAAAGTTCCTTTTGCAGTTACAGTGATATAGTTTACGCTTCCATTTGACCTGGCTTCTTATGGCGCTACATCATACAACATCTCCTATTGCTGCGCTTACTTCAGGTGTCTTTCATCACGTAAATCTCTCATCTATTGACTAGTTTTACCGTACAAGCTCGTCCTAGAGCCGCGGGGTATTGTGGGTGCAGTATGCAAAACACCGGGCAGACGCAGCCCCGCCCCCCGCCGCATCTCCACGCTCCTGGTGGGCGGAGAAGGACCGCTCTCGCTGGCGCTGTGACTCCTTGGCGTTAGCCGGGTGGCGGAGGCGGATGGCGGCGGAGAGGCTTTTGTTGGGTTTATTCTGAAGGTCAGAGAACAGGCCACCCCAACATATGCCATGTTGTTATATTGACGATCTTGACCTGCAGATGCTTGAAAAGCAGCAAATGCAAGGAGAGGCTTTCACTGAAGTCTCCTTCTCTGCCTAAAATCGGACCCCCCCAAAAGGTTCCCTTGATGGGAAAATGCCATCAGCCAGTGAAGACTGACTCCTGTCACAGGACAGGAGACTAGAAGTTGACATCACACCCAAACTTTGTTACAAACTATCTCCCCCACCCCCATTCATCTTTCCTAAAAATCATGTGCGCGCCTCTAAGAGGCCTACATATCCCGTCCCCTTTCCCTAGGAAGAAGGTATTTAAATCTGGATTCTAAGCCACCTTGAGGAGTTATTCATTTTTCCCTGGGATCTCCCACATATACATGAGGTACACATGTTAATGAACTTTAGTTTTTCTCTTGGTAATCTGTCTTTCATTACAAGGGCCTCTGCCAAGAACTCAGAAGGGTAGAGGAAAACTGTTTTTCCTCCTCCAGAATTCTATCTCGGGAAATCAAGTCCTGGGCTGAACAGTGAGCTTGGCTCAAGTGCCAAGCAGTCCCGGCTCAGGGGAGGGAAGCTTCTAGGGGGAAATCAATGATACTGGCATCAAAGTAGGACAGAGGGCATACGCATGGTTGCTGGTGGGAATTTAAAGTGGTACAACATTTTTGGAGGATGATTTGGCAAAATTGATAGAAATGTTCAAGGTACATCCAAGAGTCTTCTAGGAATCTCATATGCTAAGATA